GAAGATGAACAGAGATGCCTTTAACATAGCTTGATGAATATCTATCTTGAGACTGCCTAGGCACTGGTAAGAATTCGTGTTTGAGCCTACACAGAGGAAACATTTTGCCATTCCTATTGTATCTGTTGGTTCTTTTTTAAAGTGCCTCATTCCCTTTTCCCTTTTGGGGAAAAATGGTGTATACAAAAACAAACATGTGAAGAGGTGCAATAAAAAATTCCTACAGCACATGGTAAATAAAATTTCTCAGATTCAAATGGGGTTGAATCCTAGTGCCAGTGAGGATGACTGGGGTTCATTCCATGGAGTGATATTTTATATCAGTTTGAATCTATGATTCCTTATGAAATAGATAGGCTTTCTATAACTTCAGCTTTTCCCCTTCTGACTTGGATCCCTTAACTTTCATGTTTTTTTAAGACTACCCTTCAGGAGTTGGTTGGAGGCTGGATCTGAGCAGTAATAAATGCTTTATTTGCATAAATGGGTATTCCCATTACGTTTACGCATGCTGAGCTGCAGTTCATCATCAGTAAGGCTCAGAATCCAACTATTTTGAATAGTTTGCGACCTGACTCCAATTTTATTTTCATCATGGCTCTGAAACGCCAGAAACCCTAGAAAAGGGTCACCAACCCCTGGGCCGTGGCCCACTACTGGGCAATGGCCATTTACAACTGGGCTGTATGAACGGTGGGCCATCGCATGCGTGCAACTCGACTTCTGTGAGTGGCTGAACAATGTGTGTGCACATGCATGTGCAGCTCAATTTGAGTAAGTCAAGCTGTGCATATCCATGCTGACTCAACGCTTGTGCAAATTGAGTTACGTGTGTATAGCTCACTGCTCGCACAGCCCAGTCCCCTTCTACACCCCCCCCCTGGGCTGCCAAGCCACAAAGGTTGGGGACCGCTGCCCTACAAGAAATAGATTTCAGGCCAGAATAGAGCCCATAAATTTCATTAGTTATGCTGATGGATACATTATCCCCAATGGCCTTGCTAAGTGGCTTGGGTAAACATTTGAGCATTTTACATTATGATGTGATCGAAAGGATAAAATGGTTGCCTTAAGCCTTGCGGGTTACTTAAGGCACCTATTTTTCCTCATAACATTTCTGAAACTTTTTTCCTAGAATAACTCCTAATCTTGCCCTAGTTTAAAGGATAACCCTTGATGTGTCACAAAAGCTAACAGGTGTTGCACAACTAGGATGAAATGTACACTGCAGCAGCAACAGAAGAGAAGCATTTTGCTGACTCAAAGATTTCCCAGGAAGAAGCTGAAATTAAGAGACTGTGCAGTCCCAGGCTGCATGGAGGAAGAGAAAGAAGTTCACGGTAGCCACACCCTAGATTTCTTAAAATATATCTAGTAGGTTAAAAAGTTATAGTTTTAGTTTGGCAAAATTCTATCCATTAGGTATAAGCAAATAAAGGGTTCGATTCAATTGTGTCTCATTGTCTCATCTCTGGGCATGGGCTTGAAAGCTGATTTATGATTTGGCAAAATATTCTAAGCAAACCATAATTAAACCAACTAGTTTAGCATGGTGTCTCAATTAGGTATTGTCTGGGAGGTCTTCCAATGAGTTTCATAGTCCATTACAGAGTTGAAGAATTTTTCCCCAGTACTCTATTTTAACCATTTTACCTATGTGAATGTTGCTTTAGTGGATTTTAAAGGAAGGGGCTTTAACACTCTAGCTTTTCAGTAGCAATTTTCCCCCCTTTTTATTTTAATGGGGTATTATTTTAATACAGATGATTTCATAATCGAGTTCACCTGTTCCCCCATACCTTCAGTTACAGAAACACATCATGACATTAAGCATTAAACTGCTTATTGAATTCACTAATAGAAACATTAACACAATAATTGCACTTAGGATCATTGCCTGAGTTCATAAAACATAGAACATTTTAAAGTGAAAATGTTAATAAAAGATCTTTTAAAATGGTTATTCGTATAAGTAATGAAATAATGAGTAAGATATTTTGTATTGTTGCCCCTGTTGTATTATCATTCATTGATCTTAATTTTAGTTTTTACAAGGCTTTTTACATTATTCTCAAAGAACTCCAGTAGGATATGTTCTTTGATAGTTTTCTTCCACAGATTATTTTGTCATAAAAAGAAATTAACTTTCCAGACACAGAAGAACTCTGGTAGTAATATAACATAAATGAGCTCTTATTTTTTTCAAATAGTCAGATATACTAAAACATTCAGACACACTTAATGATACAAAATCTTGTATTTTACAAATTCATTGGCCTCTTACTAAATAGTTGCTGAAGTGTTATTCTCAACTGTGAATAGTTCTTGAGATATTCTTTAATCAAAATTCCCAATCATGCAGTCTTTAAATAAACCCTAGCAGATTGCTGCTGAGAATGCAGGGTTTGAACTGCAAGCATAAATATTGATTACAATCGGAAGCATTAATAATAAAATGTGAAATTTGTAAGAAAATGTTTTCATTTAAAAAAAACAACCCTATTTCAATTCTAGCCAAAAATCTGACCACACATCAGGGACTAGTTTCAGATTATGTATTTTAAAACCTCAAAGGAGGAGTACTCCATATTTTGGGAGGACGGGGGTAATTTAATTGTGGTTTGGGTAGGAGAATTATTCAAGTTTCTTATAATTTGTGTCTTTTTATCTTATCTCCTCATTTCCATTTTCTTTACTTTTTGTACATTCTAGAGTTGTAATTCCAATATATCTGGAGACAGATATATAGTTCAGCTTGGAAAAGGCTGAGGTAGCTAACTAGAGATGCCTCTAAACATCATTGAATTCTTATCAGCTTTCTACATAGTCACGTCCTGTTCAATGTGTTCAGATCATTACTTTATGTATTTTCCTGTCTGTGTTTCATATCACAGCCTGCCAGTGATGGGAAGTACATATTACAATGACACCAGGACATGGAACCATGTTGTTAGACTTAAGGAAAAAGGAAGTCAGACATTAATCTACTCTTTGTGTGTATAATCTTTTCTCTAAATCTCTCCTTAACAGATTGTTCCTTCCTTCTCCTATTATGCCCTTTTCATGCCTTCCCTGAAGTCAGCTCTCGGTTGGCTTACAGAGAGGGTCAAAGGAACTATGAAATATCTCCAAAACTGGATCCTAGCAAATAGCACAGAAGAATACCATAGTTAATAATATTGTAAGCTCTCAGAAGTTTCACCGAGCCACGGAGATGCCAAAGAGTGAGACTCGAGATGAGACATGCAAAAATAACAGCCTTTTTATTCTTTTACCAAAGCAAAAAGTCTGAGTGAATACTATGTCCAAAACATACAGACAAAATACATGTAAGGAATAGCCACATCTTGCGAGAGTGGCTCAGAATGTTATATGCATTTTACACTGATAGAAACAAAGTTTATCCAATCAGAGACAATGTTATTAATGTGGGCAATGTCTTGCCCATGCCCTCCCCTTCTTTATCCATGGAGAGTTCTTTGTCCGCGCTGTGTCCATACTTCGTTATTTTACACAATATCCCTTGTCCTTGCGTGTTCGTCTTCCTAGGCAGCCCCCTTCCCTTATCTATGGAGCAGGATGTTCCTGGGAATTGTCTCCAAGGATGTGTCTAGCTCTGAAGCAAATTGCAGAGACGAGAAACCAGATAGAAAAGGATACACTTCTCTTCCAGAATGAATTCCTAACAAATGATTCCCATCTTTAGCAAAACAGTACAAGCAACTTCTTTAACAGAAGCAAAGAGCAAAGGTTAGATTGATTCATGTCAATATGTCCTTTCAGTATTAAAAGCTAACAGGAGGTTTAGAGAAATTAGCAGTATTCTATTTCCCAATCTGCCATACATCATCTAATCATGCAAACAAAACAGTTTTGTTATCATGTCCTAGATAAAACCTCTGAAATAGATTCTGAAAATCAGGCCAGCCAAATATATCTAGAGTTGTGAAGCTACTGCTTTCTTGATCTTTCTTACTCAGCAATGGAATATTTGTGATTGACCTCTAATTAAACAAGATCTCTGGAACAAGGGAAGAACCTTATTTTCAGTAATGGTTTTATAACTTCCTCTTTGAAGCAGGCAGGAACACATCCTTCCTTTTATTAACCATTAGTTACTTCTCAAGAGTGGACCTGTTCCAATTTCAACATGAGCATTGAACTGTTGACTTGAGTAAAAGTGATTATTATGCACTAATAGAAACTAATGTTTTTCCTATATTGTCAGTTATACAAATACAGTTATCAACACTCCAAATGGAGATAGGATTAAATGGAAATTCTGATTAGTGAGATGGAATTCCTACAGACTTACCTATGGATATCACTCTTGCTCACCTACAAGACCCTATCAACTGCATCATAAAGTAGCACAATAGACACAGCTAGGAGAAATTACCCTTTCCTTTAGTTTGTCTCCACAATATTTCAGCACTTTCATCCAGGATTAAACCATGGATAATAGACATTTTACCAACTGATGGTATAAATTATTCCTTGATTTTGTGCCAGCATCTTCTGAAATAAACTACTGCCCCCTTTTTTTTGCATCTTGTACAATTTTGTGTATTATTTAAAGATAAAATATTAAAGAAATTTTAACCTTCATGTCACTAAGTATCCATTTAGATTTGAATAAAGAACTCAGAAAACTAAAACATTATAGTTAAACTATATATAGGGTTGGTAACCAAATCTTCCATCCAGTTAACTCAAGTTTAAACTGGTTTTGAGCCAGTTTTAAGTCCATCAAACCTAACTGGAATTAGTAAACCAATTTCTGCATTAAAGCAGCATTCTACCCTATGATTTTAGATTTTGATTGTCTTATACTTGCTGGAGATAATGGGAACTATAGTTCAGCAGAGCTGGAGAGTTTCTGTTTAGGAAAGCATGGAATAAATCAATGCTGTAATAATAATATTTGCCATATACAGTAGATGTAATTTCAGTCTGTAACCTTTTTCTATTTTCATCCTTCCCTTACTTTCCAAATACAGATTATTGACAAAGAAATCAATCCATTTGTGGACAAATGGGAAGAAGAGGGACAATTTCCAGCACACCAAGTTTTTAAATCACTTGGAGAGGCTGGATTTCTTGGAGTAGACAAGCCAACCGGTGAGAAAGGAACACACTTTAATAATTGCCTGTAATTTAGAAAACATGTTTAATATTTGGCTGAAGCATTTAGAGACTGATCTTTCTAAATACATCCTAATTATAACATTTTAAGTTGAATGAACTGGAATACAAAATCCAGCAAATAACATTTTTTTCTAAAATCTAAAGCAGGTATTATGTGGAACATGTTTTGAATATGGTACTAGAACTTGTTTTTTACTTGAGCTGTCAAATTATAAATCTTCATAAACTTCTTTAATAAATAATTCTACTTGATGTTTTAATTAGCTGATTTAAATGTATTTGTTTTTAACTTTAAATATCCCTCCATGTTCAATATTCTGTGTTATGGAAGTATGTTTTTAAAGTGATTAAGGACTATTTGTTATGAAACTTTGCAAAGTATGCAAGAAATAAAAGTCCTAAAGATACACAAACTGAGAAGTCTTACAGCCTGAAAATTAAACTGCAGCAAAATATTAACATGACTGTTGCAAGCTACTCATGTCCATTTTCTGACTTTACTATATCACTTGCATAATAATATTTGTAGCCAAAGAGCATATTGAATCATTATTGGGCTGTTCTGGGGAGACTTCTCTTTAATCAAGTAATTTCTGCAAATCTTAAAGTATCCCAAGTTCCAAGCACAGTACTGTCTTCCACTTAGGGATGGATAGAACTGGTTGTACTACAAAAGAATGGTGTGGTTAATAATACACAGGTTTAGTGGAACATGTCCATTTGCTCAGTGGTTCTCCATAGAGCCGCTCAGAGCATCCAGAGTGGGAGGTGCTTCAGATTCCTCTCTCACAAGGCTGAGCTTGAATTGAGGAACGCTCCTCCTCCTCCACGTGACTCCATGTAGTGTTACCCAGTTTTTGCTCAGCCTCGTGAGAGGCAGGCTGTTGTAGTGCAAACTCCTTGGCCGATTCAGGATTTCTTATTACTTTCTGCTATACAGGTTAGAATTCTCTTTCTTTTAGCCCCTGCGCAATTGGTGGTAACCCAGGGGAGCGTTTTCTCTTGCCCCTAAAAGGAAAAAAAAGGGGGTGGGTGGGCTTGCAGCGCTTCGCACTACCCCCCCCATCCTTGATCTAATTGTTTTTCCCTGCAGCTTTCCATGCCGCCTTCGTTAGTGGCTCGATCTTCTAGCACCTTAAAGCGCCACTGGTTCCCCCCCACCACGAATGCCGATCGCTCAGGAAGAGCCGAATCTCTTCTGCGTGGCCCCTCTCGGCACGCTGAGCTAGCCGGAGGAGCATATTCCGTCCCGAGAAGCCCTGACACTTGCTGAGCTCGCGGCTGCCATTTTGGGCGCCGCCTCGTGGTCGGGCGCCATCTTGTTGCTTTGCTGTTAGCTGCGGTTGATCTAGCTCTCGACAGGCCCCATCAGCAGGTCAAGAGCATTGCTTATATTAACCAAATTACTGTTGATACCTGGCTTTTGGTCTTATATTGTTGGCCTTTCCTGCAGCCTCACTCGGGGTGAAGTACAGCAGCACCCCCCCCCTCCAGTTTTCACCTGGAGGACAACTGCTGGAGGCCTTATCCCTTCTGGCCTCAGGCGTTCATTCGGCAAATTAGATGTTTAGTAATTAATCAGCTTTCTCCTTCTAATTCCTGCTATCCACCTTCCAATCTGTTGCCCTCTTCCTTTGGGCTAAGTTCCTAGTTATACCAGTTCAAACTATATAGTTTTAATAAAAAAAAACATTAAAAAAATTACAAATACATATACATATATACATATATTATTACTAATAATATATATTTCCATATATTGCTATCATAGTATGTATTAAAATTCCAAAAGGGGGCGCAGACCAGTTCAAAGGAAACCCGGCCTTTGTTGCAGGCCGAACCCTAGGCGAGCCAACCGCCGCTAGCACTCATTTATATGCTTTTTACCTCTTAAAATGGCAGATGACAATTCTTCTAATCGCCCTTCTCTGAAGGCCAAATCGAAATCTCACCATTTGCACAGGCAGGCTAAGGAAACCTCCAAGGCCTCCCAGAGGGATGCCCTAAGGCGCCCTAAGGCGTTGGAGAAGGAATTCGACAGGCGATCCAGGGAGTCACGTCCGGTGCCTCCAGCCCTCCCACCTTCCACTCCTTCCACCTCTACTCACCCCCCCTCCAGACCATTCTTCCCTATCCAGGCGCAGCTCACCCCGGGGTCATCAGGCCCCTGGAACAACAACCAGACAGACACCCAAAGCCACCTTTACTCCTACTGCTGCTGGTCTGCGCCAAGAGGAACCTTCCCCAGTCGAGGTTCCAGAAAAAATGAGACCATGGATGGAACTGGCTATCCGCCAAGGAATTGCAGAGGGTCTCCAACAAAGCCGGCTTCTCCCCGAGGGGCCCCGAACATGAATATCTGTCTGTCAGATCCCTTCCGAGATCAGATCCCTCTCTCGGTCAGGTACTCTCTCAGAGGGACAGCCCTCTTCCAGAAAGGGAGCAGGAGGAGGAAGAAGGGGGCCTTGATCCTTTTAGGGAGGAAGAAGGATTCGAATTGGGATCTTCCCATTACAGTGAGCCCCTATCGGAGGCGGAGCCAATGGAGGGGGAGATGTCTGAGGATGAGGGTCTCACCCCTGACCAACCCACATTTGTGAGACTGTTTAAGCCACACCTGTACAAATCCCTTCTCTTTAAGGCAAAAAACATCTCTGGCCTATATACCCAGTCTTCCTCTGCCCCCCTTCCTCATTGGAAGGCCCAGAGGATTCTATTTTTAAGCAGCCCGTTGTGGAGGCTGAAGTCATTCTGGCTCTGCCCATTTTTTCCAACCTGGTATCAAAGCAGCTGGCTTCCACAGGGGGCCCTCCTGCCCCAGCCAGGATAAGAGATTTTTCAACCTCGATTCAGACTATTGTAGCCTTCTGAATACCCCCGAGGTTGATGAGCCCATTGTTAGCTTAGCATCCTCCTCCACCCCAAGTGCCCCCCGACTGTTCACCGGTACCCTACCTGGGTCCTCAATATGGTCCTTACTTCACTCACTAAGCATCCCTTTGAACCTCTGAGGGAGTCCTCCCTCCAGTTTTTAACTTTCAAGGTTGTGTTCTTGGTGGCCATCACATTGGCCCGGCGAATATTGGAAATCGCAGCCTTATCAGTTAGGAAGGACCTTTGCGTTTTTCACGCCAACCGAGTGGTTCTTTGACCCGACCCTACCTTCATGCCCAAGATCAACTCAGCCTTCCACAGGGCACAGGAACTAATTCTCCCAAACTTTTGCCCCAGACCCTTGCGGGACAGGGAAATACTTTGGCACACCCTCAACGTGAGACGGGCCCTGCGCATCTACATCAAGTGCACGCAACCCTTTAGAAGGTCTGAATCCCTATTCCTCTCCTTTCAGCCCAAGACACTGGGTCACAAAATATCCCCTTCAACCATTGGTCACTGGATCAGAGCAACTATCTCCAGATCTTACCTGTCACAAGCTCTTCCAGTACCCAGTGGAATAACAGCACATTCCACCAGGAGCACGGCTACTTTGGCAGCTTGGGCCACCCAGGCTCCAATCTCTGACATATGCCAGGCCACCACCTGGGCTTCCCCGTCTCCCTTCATTAGGCATTACAAGATCGACATATATGCCTCTGCGGAGGCCTCGTTTGGCAGACGAGTCCTACAGAGGGTCCTTAATGACCCAGAGGGGCTTCCGACCCAGACAGAGTCCCTCTCGTAGGACTGCCAAGCTTTCGTATGTCCCACTCTGGATGCTCCGAGCGGTTCTATGGAGAATGGGCATTGGTTCTTACCTGACACACCCCTTCTCGGTGAGCATACAGCCCCACCCTAATTTCTTGAATCTTGTTTCGGCCAATGATCCATTAGTTGGTTAGGATGAGAACACGACCTTCTCGTCCTTGCAAAAACTGGGGAATGCTACGTGGAGTCACGTGGAGGAGGAGGAGCGTTCCTCAATTCAAGCTCAGCCTGTGAGAGAGGAGTCTGAAGCACCTCCCACTCTGGATGCTTCTCACAGCTCGCTGAGAAGGGGCGTGTCAGGTAACGCCCATTTTATTGTTGAGCAGCTCTTGAAGCATTATAGGATGTGCTATCATATGAAATTGTTCTTTTTCTACTTAAAATCAGCTAACTGAGGAAACCAGCTTTCTTAAGCATTTGGTTTCCTCAATAGAAGCTTTGAATGTGTGTTCTAATAGTTTTTATGTGTAGTTGTGTTGTTGATGATTAAGTTTAATTATATTAGATACTCACTTTTTGTCTGTCAAATATTCTGCGATTGCTGCTGTCTGAAATAGGAATTGCAGCTAAAATTCAGAAAAGAGCTAATAATTTTGAGATTTTTGAATACCATAGCTCATTGAAAATAGCCAGGTAGCCTAATTCTGGTCACGTAGAAGTTATGAAAAACACTGAGAATTGTGAGGAAATAAGACATGAAGCAGTCTTCAAATTTTATTTATTTATATATTTATAGTCAGTTTTAAGGAAGTTTAAGAAAGATGTTTTGGATGGAGGGCTGGATTCAGGTTTTTTATAATTTTGAATCTTTTGCCCCACCCCAATCCCTTTTAAAATCTCTTCTCATGGACTGTTTACAGTATTTAAAAAAGCTTTACTTTAGGCTTTTTCATAAATTTCGTTTTTTCTTATATCTAATGCTTTATTGATGCAGCATCTTTGAAAAGCAAATAGGGGTTAATTGCATACTTCAAATCTATGCTTTGAATAGTCAAAAGTGAGAATTTTTATGAATGCACATTATTAAATTATAGGACATAATGGAACAAAAGCTTAGTAATAATGAATTTTTATCTCTTTTCTTCTGCCAAGAAAAATGTTCAAGTTTTGTGTAATTTATTTTGAAGCTATTTCAGATCTTACTGAGTTGCCATTATAGTATCGATTCACAGGGTGGTATATTTCAACGTTTTATTCTTATATTCAGGTTCTGCATGCTTAATAGACATCAGTTAACCTTAAAAGAAACTAAGCAGGGTCAGAAATAA